GTACAACAAAAAACAACAACAACAACAAAAACCACTTACTTTAGGGGAAATGCATTAGGCCTGAAGCTTCTGGAAGCCGGATAAATCTAAACTATTATCTAATTTAATCTAATAAAAATAAAATTCCTTCCAGGGAATGTCAAAGCCCCCTAGCCTCCAAAAGGCTCCTCACATAAAGTGACCAATGAGTCCAAACTACCTGAAGGCAGGAGAGAGACGGTGCTGCTGGGGATCCAGGGCAGGAGCATAGCATCTGAGTCAGGACTGTTCTCTTCCCACACTCCAGAGCTGACAGCCTGGACATTCGAGGTTATTCTTAGTAACTCTCAGGTTTCACCCTAGCACACTGAGCACGCTCAAGTGGGTAAATACAGAAATCTTCTATTTCGTATTTTGTTTTCCACTTGCCCACTTGTCTCTAATAGTATGTGATTTTAAACTTTTTTTCAGACTAGATTTATGTTTATTTGAGGCCCACCTGAGCTATATAGCTAGCTGAAACCCAGCCTGAGTTTATAATGAGACTCTGTCTCAAAACAAAACATCTCCAAAACCAACAAGTAACAAAAACAAACACATCCAATCCAAGTTATCCCTTATGATTTATGTGAAGTATTTAACTTTGTATAGTCAGGGTTTCCCTGGAGGTATATAAAAGATACTAAAAACAAAACAAAACAACAAAACTAAGCCTAGGATGTACACACCTATAATCCCAGCATACCTGGGAGGCTGAGGAAGGACAACTACAAATTCAAGACCAGTTTTAGCTACATATAAAGTTCAGACAGGCTGGGCTACAGAGTCAAACTCTCTGTCAAAACCAAAAAAACACATAGAATTCCTCCTAAAACCTGAATCATCTCTGGTAATATGCACTAGCCCCTCAGGATCAAAAAAAAAAAAAAGGAAATTTCTCAGTTAAAGGAGACTGCCTTAAGTTTAAGACCAGTAGGTAATCTGTTTGACATCCTAGGTATCAGTCTGAGGGTGGAAACACACCCTACAGCTCTCCTCAGAGCCCCAGCCCAGTCCTGTTTCTATAGCATAGTAATGGAGGAGGACATGGAGACTGGAAGGGCTGCTAAAACAACCAACTCAGACCCATTCTTCCCAGAAACCCTCTTTTCATGGAATGGAAAGTCAACTATTGCTAAAATCAATCAGTTCTGACCACATTCCACACCGGTTATCAAAGATGCTAGTTTGAATCAGCCCAGCAACTACAGGTTGAGTAATTCTGTTCTAAAGCAACCGGGACCAAAATGGTGTAAATGTTGAAATGCAACAGGGATACAAATGTTACTTTGGGATAGTTACATAGATTTGACTGGCTGGGTATACATAATACAAAATTCTGAAATCTAAAAAGTCTAAATACAAAGTCAAGTAGGACTAGGATAGGGTGGGGAGTGCCTGTAATTCCATCAATTGTCCTCCTATCTTTGGCTACATCGTGATTTCAAGGTCAGCCTGGGCTACATGAGACAGTCTCAAAAATCTAAAAAAGGCTGAGTGGTGGTGGCACAAGCCTTTAATCTCAGCACTGGATTGACAGAGGCAGACGGATCTCTGTGAGTTTGAGGCCAGTCTGGACTACAGAGTGATTTCCAGGGCAGCCAGAGCTATTACACAGAGAAACCCTGTCTTGAAAAACAAACAAACAAAAAAACCCTGGGTTCAGGTAGACTGCAAGTGTTTGTCTAGCACGCAGAGGCCTGGATTCAATCTCTAACATTGCTTAAACTAGGGATTGTAGTTTATGCCAATTTTCAGAAAGTGGAGGTAATCCCAGCAGGTACACAGCAAGGTGGAGGACAGCCTGAAATACATGAGACTGTCTCAACAAACTGATCAAACCTTTACTGCCAAACTAACAACTTAAGTTCCCTGGGATTCATATGATAGAGAGAACTGACTGCCACAAGCAGACCTCTGACAGCCACACTGAAGCATGGCATGTGATCACAGGCATAATAGACACATACACAAAAGAAGAAATGTTAAAAACCATATGTAGCATGAATCTTCTGTTTTGCTGTTTTTTTTATTATTAACTTTGCTTAATGGTTTTAAGGTTCATCTAATTCAAACCACATGAGTACTTCATTTGTTTTATTCTAGGGTTTTATATGAATATACAACATTTTAAAAATATTTTTAATTGCATTTGCATTGGTGTTTTGCCTGCATATGTCTGTATGAGGGCATCTGATACCCTGGAACTAGAGTTACAGACAGTTGTAAACTGCCATGTGCATGCTGGGAACTGAACCTGGGATCTCTGGCAAAGCAGTCAGTGCTCTTAACCATTGAGCCATCTCTTCAGCCACCATAGCTTTTTTTTTTTTGGTTTTTCGAGACAGGGTTTCTCTGTATTGTTTTGGAGGCTATCGGTCCAGCCCGGCCACGAACTCACAGAGATTCGCCTGCCTCTGTCTCCCGAGTGTTGGGATTAAAGGCGTGCACCACCACCGCCCGGCTACCATAGCATTTTTTTTTTAGCCATCCATTCATGGGTTGTGAATGTGTTTCCACTTTTTGCCTATTATGAATAAGGCTACTATGAACATTCATGTATATACATACATATATATATATATATATATACACACATGCGTGTATATGTTTTCATTTCTCTTGTTCATAAACCTAAAAGTATAATTAGTTTAAAAGTTATCTTCAGGAGGCTATATCTCAGGTGGTAGACCCTTGTCTAGCATGCATGAAGGATTTGAGCCCTAATACCATAAAAATCAGGCACAGGGCAGTTTGGAGGAAAATCAGAAGTTCAAGGTCATTCTTAGCTATATAGGGAGTTTGGGGCTAAGCTGGAATACATGAGACCCTACCTCAAAGAAGGAAAAGAAATCTTTGTATTTAATCTTTGTAGAAATTGCCAAATTATTTTTTCAAAGCAACTACAACATTTTAAGTTCCTACCAGTTACATATAAAGATTCCAATTTATCTACATTTTTAGTGACACACTTTTTTATTTTTTGAAACAGAGTCTTGCTATGTAGCTCAAGCTGGTCTTGAACTAGTGTGTTAATATTCCTACTTTACTATATTTTTTATTATAAGCGGGCTATGGTGACACATACCTGTAATACAAGCACTTGGGAGATGATGCAAGAAGATCAGGTTATTCTTGACTACCTAGCAAGTTCAAAGACAGTCTGGTCTACACAAGACATTGTCCCAAAAAATAAAAAATAATACACATACTTCAAAAAGCATTTAATTTTTTTCATATGAGTGTTTTGTCTGCATGTATGCATGTGTACCACCACATGATTCCCTGTAACTGAAGTTACAGACTGTTGTGAGCTACCTGATGTGGGTACACTATAAAATAAACTTGGGCCATTTAGAAGAGCACAAAGTGCTCTTAACTGATGAACCCCATAAATAGTAATTTTTTGTGGTCTCACTACCTAGCTTTGGTTGTCCTGAACTCAGTAAATCAAATCAAGATGGCCTTGAACTCAGAGAGCTCCCAGCTTCTGCCCTCTGAGTGCTGGGATTAAAAGTCTGTAGCCCATAATAGTAATTATTATCATTAGAACTGCTGGCCGGGCGTTGGTGGCACAAGCCTTTAATCCCAGCACTTGGGAGGCAGAGGCAGACGGATCTCTGTGAGTTTGAGACCAGCCTGGCCTTTAAGAGCTAGTTCCAGGACAGCCTCCAAAACAATAGAGAAACCCTGTCTCGGGGGAAACAAACAAACAAACAAACAAAAACCTTCTGCCTTCTAGGTCGTATCTAAATACCTTGCAAAGTACTAATTGGTAGTTGCTATTTAGGTGCAAAAACAAGTGGCAGATATATTAAAGATGCAAAAATGTTATATGGAGGGGGATCAGTAAAGGAGAAGGAATGGAGAAAGCCTCGTAAGAGTACTAGAACATACATAGTAATAAAACTGGCATCGATAGTAGAAGCAACTTAAGATGGGACTTAGCACAAACAGATTAAAGGAAAAAGGGGCCATGGATGAAAAACAATAGACAAGCTCTATGTTTGACTGGTAGAACAACTGTCCAGCATGTGTGAGGATACAAGAATCAATTTCTAGTACCACAGAAACAGAAACAAACAAAAAACAGGTCTGTATATTCATGCCATAGTAAGACAACTTGGAGATATTAAGAAATAATTATCCAGATTCCATAACTGAATAGGCTAACCCTATGATCATTCCTTTTTTTTTTTTTTATTTTTATTTTTGAGGCAGGGTTTCTCTGAGGCTTTTGGAGGCTGTCCTGGAACTAGCTCTTGTAGACCAGGCTGGCCTCGAACTCACAGAGATCCGCCTGCCTCTGCCTCCGGAGTGCTGGGATTAATGGCGTGCGCCACCAACGCCTGGCCCTATGATCGTTCTTTAATGACAAATATATGGAATTCAAATTGAAAATGGCAGCATTATGTTGACAATCAAATCACAAATCCACCCTTACCCTCTGCAATGTCTGAGCATGATGTTCCAATAGCCGTGTCCCCACTGTCAGCTATGCTTGAGCAACGGCTGAAGCGGCTCCGAAAGGCCTCTGAGATAACTGGTGTCTGCCATTCAGTTCCCAGAGAACTGCCTTTTTGCATCACATTGGAACCTGTAATAAGAGACGTTTTTCATGAAACTCAAAGTACCTTGGGGGGGGCAATGGGGGTGGGTGGGGGTTAAAGTCAGTATATTTTTATTTAAGGTATTTCACATGTAATTCCTTCACTGTCCATCCATGTTGCTGAAGTTCAGATTTCTCAAGACAATCCTTTCTCAAATAATAGGTGATTAATTCAGCCATGTTATTAATCCTGTATGTCAAGAACATGGAAGTAATCAACTAAGCACCTGGAGCTACCTTCTACCTCAGTTAGACCTACCTACATTATACCTTATTACTAGCAACATAGAAGAATTTACAAATAGATCCTTGCTCTAAGCATGCACTACAGTGATAATTTGTAATGGGGTTCTTAAAAACCTCATTAGCAATAAAATGTTCCCCACAGGTTGCCTACTAACAAAGTAGTACATGGAAAACCTTTGGGTTTTTTTTTTTTTTTAAGGTTATGTACACAGCAAATGAGAAGCTGCATTCTAAAAGCCTGGTATCTGTTTCAGTAAGAACTTTTTGTTTTGGAGACAGGGCTTCTCTGTGTAGCCCTGGCTGTCCTGGAACTGTAGACCAGACTGGCCTCAAACTGAGAAGTCTGCCTGACTCTCCCTTCTGAGTGCTAGGATTAGCTGTGCATTACCACTACCTGGCTGAGTTAGTTGATTTTTAATGGAAATAAGTGAGACATGAAAATGTTAAAAAAGATAGAAATAAGACCTAACAAGAAGCCTGGCATGGTGGCACACACCTGCAATATTGTACTTAGGAGGCAAAAAGATCACTCCATATTCAATGATAGCCATATTTACATAGCTAGTTCCAGGCCAGTCAAGGCTATATAGGGAGATCCTTGTCTCAAAGCACACTCACCTTTAGGGGGTTTGCTTTGTTTTTTGTTTTTCGAGACGGGGTTTCTCTGTGTAGCTTTGGAGTCTGTCCTGGAACTCTCTCTGTAGACCAGGATAGCCTCTATCTGCCTCTACCTCCCAACTGCTGGGATTAAAGGTGTGCGCCGCCACCACCCAGCAAGGGGGTTTGCTTTGTTGGTTTTTTTTTTTTCCTTCCTTTTTTCTTTTTTTGCTATATGGTCCTACATCACTACACATACACACAATTTATTGAAACCTTGAAACCATAATACTTTAATCTAGTTTACAGAGAAGAGAGCTATGATGTACATGTGCATGTAATACCCACATACATTCCTTTACATGGTTTCTCAATGGCTGCTGTTACCATTCTAAGCTAAAATAGTCTTCAATGTATAGCCTCTGTAGTCTACACTTCATAGAATGGTTTAATATCACTGGCCTCTACAAACTGAATACCAGCAACAACCCTCATTCAATCACAATGATGTGTGAATTATCCTACATGTCCCAAGGCAACACAAAGAAACAGGTACTTCAGTTCCTTGTTGAAAACTATGGCTAGTCTGAACCAGGGTACCCTCAACAGGCCAATCGAGATAAATTTTGAAAGTCAATCTAAAAATTTTAAGGTGGGCCAGATGTAGTGGTACATGCCTTTAATCCTAGTACACAGACAGGTCTCTGAGTTTAAGGTTAGGCAAGGCTATATATCAAGTTCTACTCTAGCCAGGGTTATACAGTGAAGACTGTCTCAAAAAAAAGTGTTATCTTGAGGGCAACACAAAGAAACCACATAAGGGGCTGGAAAGATGGTTCAGCAATTAAGAGCACTGGCTGCTCTTCCAGGGGACCTAGATTTGATACCTGACACCCACATGATGGTTTACAACCATCTATAACTCCATTTTTCATGGGATCTGAGGCCCTGTTCTGGCTTCTAGCAGCACCAGGCATGCACTCCGTGCACAAACCATACATGCAGACAAAACAAGATAACACACAAAATCACCAAAACACTTCAGTTTTCTGTACAGGTAAGAAAAAGCAAGACCAATGGAATTTGACTTCAAAGCTTGTTGTTATGTACTAGAAGGTAGGTAAGATTAGGATTTTTTTAAATTAACAGTTGTAGAAATGGCTCAGTGGTTAAGAGCACATAACTGCTCTCACTGAGTATCCAAGTTCAGTTCCTAGCACCTACTTTAAGTGGCTCACAGCTACCTGTGACTTCAGATCTAGGGGGAATCCATCACCGTTTTCTGGCCTAGCACCTGTACTCATGTGTATATAGCCACACATACACTTAATTTAAAAAAAATCTTAAAAAATTTATTAACATACTAGCAAAGCCAGTATTTTAGCCAAGGCAAGAAGATGTTCTCAAGTGAGGCCAGCCTGGCCTACATAGCAAGCTCTTGTCTACAAAACCAATGAAAAACAGAGAAAACACAAAGCAAATCCTAGAAAGACTAAAATCCAAACTATTTTTGTTTTTGAGACAATGTCACCTATGCCTTCAAACTCTTGATCCTCCTGCCTTGGCCTCAAGTATGTGTGCTACTTGCTTTTTATTTATTTATTTATTTTGGTTTTTCGAGACAGGGTTTCTCTGTATTGTTTTGGAGCCTGTCCTGGAACTTGCTTGGTAGACCAGGCTTGGTCTCGAACTCACAGAGATCCACCTGCCTCTGCCTCCCAAGTGTTGGGATTAAAGGTGTGCGCCACCACCGCCCAGATTTAATTTTATTTATTATTAATAAGCAAAACCAGCAGAGACAGTTAATCCAAACAGGGGAGGGCTCTTGGACCCCAACCAACAGCTGGGAGGCCAGCATGGGACCGATCCAGACCCCCTGAATGTGAGAGTCAATGAGGAGGCCTGGCCTACCTATGGGGTCCTGAGCAGTGGATCAGTGTTTAGCCCTTGAATACTAACAGACATCGTGTGTCCATAACACAAAGAGGGTTGCTCTCTCTGCCTGGACTCTTAGGGAAGTGCCTGGACCCTACCCTGAGTGAAATGATAGACTCTAGATATCCCCTATGCAGAAGGAATTGGCAATAGGGTGGGAGGATGGGGGGGGATGGTAGGGGGGTGCGGGAGGAGGGGAGGGAGAGGGAACTGGGATTGACATGTAAAACAAGCTATTTAAAATTAAAATAAAAAAATTTTAATGAAAAAAAAATATACAGTATTCTGCCTGCAGGCCAGAAGAGGGCACCAGATCTCATTACAGATGGTTGTGAGCCACCATGTTGTTGCTGGGAATTGAACTCAGGACCTCTGGAAGAGCAGCCAGTGCTCTTAACCTCTGAGCCATCTCTCCAGCCCCCACTTCCTTGTTTTTATCACTCTTTTTATTCATTTTTTTCTTTCTTTTGAAGGGTTGGAGATGTAGCTCATGGTAGAGTTCTTACTTTGCATCTAAAAAGCTCTGAGTTCAAAGTTTAGCAACACCAAAAGAAAAAACCCAATGTATTACTTTTCTTTTGAGGTAGGTTCTGGATGCATACACACAGCCCAATATGGCCTTGCACCTGTGATCTGCCTGTCTCCCAAGAGCTGGGTATGGGATGCACCACTATGATCTAGAGATTAAATCCTCACAGCTGGCATCCAAGAATTCCAATCTTTGAGGACTACCATGTGAGTAGAACACAGTGGTTCACACTGTTTCCCCCTATTTCACAGAGAACTGTGTCTCATAGTCAGAGCATATCTGCACACACCTGCATACCATACGCACACATATGAAATAGTAGAAGCAAAAATTGAACATAGAAGACTACTTACCTGGTGAAGTAGCATGAGAAGACCTGTCATTTGGATATTTTTCTTGCATGGCCATCAGTTACCTGAGACACTGCAGAATTAAAGAGTAACATGTAAGAACTTTCTAGTATCTTTAAAAAAATATCTGCAACTCACTTCCTATTGGCTAGAACTAAAACAGAACAAAACAAAAAATCCACAATCTTGATATAAGAATAAACAAATCCAGTTTCCTCCTAACTCTTAACAATATGCTTCTGGTGGGGAGGGGTCCACCTGCCCCAATTCCAACGTCACCCTAATTCCCAGCTTGTTCACCCATGCTTCTTTTTTTTTTCTTTTCTTTCTTTTCAAGACAGGTTTTCTGTGTAGCTTTGTAGACCAGGCTGGCCTTGAACTCACAGAGATCCACCTGCCCCTGCCTCCCAAGTGCTGGAACTAAAGGAGTGTGCCACTACCTCCCAGCTCACCCATGCTTCCCTCCTAGAGTCTGATTTGCTAGAATGACTTACAGAACTCAAAAAATCTTTACATTTACTAGTTTAGATCAGGTATGATGGTACACATGTGTAATTTCAGTACTCAAGAAAGCAGGAGAATTACCACAAATTCAAGGCCAGCCTGGTTTACATAATGAATTCCAGATCAAACAGAACTACATACTCTGTTTAGAAAAATAAATAGCTGGGTAGTGGTGGCACATGCCTTTAATCCAGCACTTGGGAGGCAGAGGCAATCTCTGTAAGTTCAAGACCAGCCTGGTCTACAAAGTGAGTTCCTAGACAGACAGAACTGTTACACAGAGAAACCCTGTCTTAAAAAACCAAAAAAAAAAAGAAAAAAAAGGAAAAAAAAAAAGAAAAATAAATAACAGGTTTATTATAAAGATATTACAGCCAGGTGTGGTATTACAAGCCTATAACTTTATACTTGGGAAGCTAAGGCAGAACAATCACCACAAATCTGAGGCCACAGAATAAGACTGTCTCAAACAAAACAAAACAGGAAAAAAGATACTGCAAAGGACAGATATGGCAATGACCCCCTTGGGTTTACTACTGACGGAGAAGCTAGAAATGATGAACTAAGGTTATAAAGGATTTGTTAGGAAAAATCAAGTTACACAAAAGAATTTAGCTAAAGGAGTACTGACTCAAATATGACTAGAAGATAAAAGTAGCATACTAACCCAATTTCCTAGAAACTATAGAAAGGCTAATAAAACTAGAGCTGTACTTCTAATATAATTAGGAGTTAGGGGTTACTATGTTTTTGTATGTTTTGTTTTATTAGACTATGTTTTTATAAAGATTTGTCCACCAAGACTGCTGTTCATTAAGCTTTATTACCAACTCAAAAGGAGAATTCCAGCAGGCAGGCAGAATAACCCTGGTTAACACCTAAAGGAAGAAATAAACTGCCCAGGAACAAGTCAGTTAATTTATTAGCATAAGAAAAGATAAATATCATTTTGCAAATTTTAAGGCTATTTTATTGGTATACAACAAGCAAAAGAAAAAATAAATACATACATTACAACAGTATACAACATATTCAAGTATTCTTCCATATTTTAGGGCTGGGAAGACTGCTAAGAATTCAGTCTGTTCTTCCAAAGGACTCAGGCTTGATTCCCAGCATTCCCTTGGTGGCTCACAACTACCTGTAGCTTTAGAAACACAACACTCTTCTGATCTGAGGGCACTAGGACACATGTGGTAAAACACACACACACACACACACACACACACACACACACACACACACACACACACACCATCCAGACAAAACATCCAGATATACATGATAATGACAGGAACTCATCTTTTTATTTTAAAAGTCAAACCATGAGCA